GAAATCTCGAAATCTAGAATCAAAGATCAGGAAGTGCCGGTCGGTGAGTAAAACTATTTAGAGAAAAGAGCCATCGCGCAGGGATGAGTAATATATAGTTTTTGAAATTTATCTAAAATACAAATTACATAGTATTGGGTTGATACGAATGATGATTTTGCAAGTTTTGGTGACGAGTAAAGTGTTATAGGCAATAAAATTTGACCTATTTTTTCCAGCAGTAGCTGGGTTTGATATCTAGTTAGGTTTATACATACACTAGCGATCGAAATGCTCCATCCCGTCCTTAGCGTTTTTCGATCCAATACAAATAAGAAATTTGTCACTAGTTTTGCAAAAATTGCACAATTGAACAAAGTGTAAAAGCTTGAAAATACTTGGCATAGAAATTCAAGACGATTCTCATATCTAACTCCCGCAGTAAGATTTTCAAGATGTTGTAGAAAAACGTTAAAGCAGGAGACTAAATTCGAAAGGTATAAGCACTTTTTGGGCCTTGCTGATTTCCATTAACTGATGGTTATACGCCTATTTTACAGTCAGCTACATAAAAGAGCAAGTATTATTAATTTAGCAAATATTATATGCAGTAAGTATATTAACTACTGGTGCATAAACTTGAAAAATTGTATTGAATTCGACTAATTGGTTCTCAAAATATATTGAAATGTCCGAAAAAACTTCAGGGGCATAAAGACTATCCCTACTCAAATGTTGTTGAATTTCAGAGAAACTTGCCACTGGTTTATGGTATGAGCTGGCTGACCTGGAGACCTGCTCAAAATATTATGTGGACGTGTACTACTACGATGCATACACCCAGCAACGAGGCGACCCATCCGGTAACCCCATTTCCTTTGTTACCGGAGTTAAACCGTCCGAACCTCCGAAAAAAATTACGGTGGCTAGAGATGCTTCCGAGCAAATGTTCTTTGTAGTCAATTGGTACGCCCCGTGTGGGATTGATAAAGGACCTCTGGATTACATAGTGAGTGAGGAGTAGTAATAAATTAAATCGCAATTAAATCGCATTGACATTCTTACTGATCACGGAAATTCAGAGACCATTTCATTATATTACTGACAAATAATCTTTATTTGAAACAATAAGTATCTTATCGTGAAACGGGGAAAGAAGAATCCCAACCCTGGATTAATATTTCGGTTATTGGCGGGAATAAACGCGACCTGTTTACTGATCTAAGTAGCGTGTATGGCGCTAAATACGAGTAAATTTTTATTTTTTATTCGATTATATTATCTGCCTAAATATATAAGAAAACAGTTTGTACATAGATTTTTCCTTCTCAGGTTAAAAATTAAAACCTCGAATGAAGATGCTGTCTTCTCCGACGTAAGAGAGTATTATAGTGGAGAGATTCCTGTTGCTGATAGCATTGAGCAACTGGGAAACACGAAAACCTCGGTTGTGATTGATTTTTCTTTGACGAAATTACCTCCTCAAGTGTTACGACGTGGAAGGTACGTACACGCTTACAAGGGATACTACCGAGGTGTCAAACGATTTAAGGGTTGACACCTATACCAAAATGTGCACAAGGTCTGACCTCTGTCATGAAGGGAAGGAATTTCCGTGTTAAATTCACTTTTCATATAGTTGTGACGACTTTTGTGGCTATCGTATAACTATGGAGTATAAAGCGGTGGACTCGGCCCTCACTCCTCCTCCTCAGTAACATAATCGCACGTCTGTTGAATGAAAATAATGTTTTCAGCAAAGCGCCCACATTCGCGTTTATGAAACAGTGTCGCAAAATTTGCTACCTACTTTCCAAATTTTGCAAAAATAATTTGCAAATGTTGCTAATAATTTGTATAAATTGCATTAGAATTTTGTAAAACTTTGTAAAGTTTGGAAATTTTTGCAATTATTGCAAAAATTGGGAAGGACGTTGCAAATTATTTAAGTGTTTCACAAACACGAATTATTTCTACTAGAGTTTGCTGAAAACATTATTTTCATCCAACAGATGTTCACTTATATTTGCGGGGAGGAGTATTGAAGGTCAGGTCGACCGCTATAAACTCGATGGGCTCACATCCGTCACACGCTCGCCACAAAAATCGTGACAACTTGACGACCAGTGAATTTAACAACCTTGTTAAATTAGAATTTCCTTGGAAATTCCTTCACTTCACCGCAAAAGTCATACCTTGTGCACATTTTGGTATAGGTGTCGACCCTTAACTCGTTTGACACCTCGGTATGCTCCCTTGCTAGATAAATACGAAAATATAGTATATCGCACTTTTTTAATGTTCTCTAATGAGAACAATTGTTCAATTGAACAATCTCTAATCAATTACAATTACAATTGAACAATCTCTAATGTTCTCACGCAGTTCTTTAATGTTCTCTACATTTAAAATTTTTTTAAATGTATTCCATGTGTTTGACTTACACGTGTATGTACATCAAAATAGGGTACAATACTACGTACTGTTGTCGGAGAGTATGTCATACAACGAAGCTCAAAAATTGAAACTTTCTGCAAATGTAACGCGCTACTATTTCCCCAAGTCCAGATTCAGGCAAAGAAAGACATATTTTGCCTCGCTTGCTCTGATTGATGGAGCCGGCTACAAATCACCAACTTCAGATTGGATTCCTTTAAATACAACAGAATTGTTCGAGAGGTAAATACATACAAGTTTAAAATGTTCACTATTTCGAGCATAAAACCATGTTTTTTAATCACATTTTTTACTCCGTAGTCGTGAGACGCGTCTGCCACTCGGTGGGGTGAGGTCTCTGCTCCATTTAGCACGCAATTAAGATTAAAAGTGGGCGATTTTACATACTACTTTGTTAAATTATTTATAATTTAAACCAATTTAATTAACCCGAAATATTGTTAATTTGAAAACGAAAAGTGGAATTGCAATTCCTGCAGATGCATTTACTTGTGTATTAATCTAAATCTGCACTATCAATCACACCGTGTGTTGTTCTGATATAGGAAAATTATGTAACTAAATTTCGCACATTTGTAACCTCAACCACCGAAATGAATCTTCTGAATATTGCGAAATATATAAGTTAGCGCGTCTCCCTACGCAATTATTTGTCTGACAAATTTACTAAATGTATTTAACACTGAATACTGTACTATGAAATGTTGAATTTTAATTTGAGTTATTTGCGCAAAGGAGGGGATTTAACCAAACCATCACACGAACTCCACAAATCAACATTGATTGATTCATTGATTGAGGCTTTATTAAGATGTCTAACAAGTTCCCCGTTACACGATAAGTTGTTCCACAAGTTACATTTTTAAACAACTATGTAACTAACTAAATATATCTACCAATTATCTTACTACCTAAATATATCCTCAGTCTGTTATTTTCTGTTATTGCTGTTATCAAATCGACCAACCACAACTCGGTGGCATTGTGAACGAGATTAAAATGTATAAATTGCTGAATTTTTGACAATTTTTATGTAGTTTATTTTTTTCTGGAAACTCTAAAGAACGTTTACATAAATTCGTGAACATATGTACAAATGTCGACATTTTTAGAAAACTCTTGCAGATTTTCGGGTTATTTTTAATCCATCAGACTTTTAATTGAAATTCGTATTGACCTGTTTCCATCCATGCCGGGAACAAACTTGATAACATTGAATACTGACAATTTTTTATTATTCCATAAACATATTTCAAAATCAACTAAAACTTTTAATACATCGATTGCACATGGGAAGTTGAGACACAAAGCCTCAAAGTCAAAACCCGTATGAAAATCTATTTACTTGCGAACCCCGTCCCGCACAAGACGAACTGGAGCACCGCTGGCTTTAAAAATGGGTTGCGTTCGTTCCACAATTCTGGCTCCCTAAATACATAAATTATTGGAAAATTGAATATGGAAAAAAATATAATTGAAAATTATGTACAGGGTGGTTTAAATGTCAGGTTACAATGGAAAATTTTTCAATGGGAAAAATTCGCAAATCTCCATTATGTAGTTACGGATTTAGATTGTGATTTTTATTAATTTATTTCAAAACTTATAGAACATTGATGACAAAATTCTTAAAATATTGAATTTCAGAGGCAAAATTTCGGTAACAATTGGAGATTTGTAAATTTTTCCCATTGACAAATTTTTCATTTTAATCTGACATTTAAACCATCCTGTATTTATTTCTTGCCCGATTTACCACAAGTCCCGAGATCACTACGCTTTTAAAACCTCTACCATGCAAGATGAGATCTTCCACGATGGGAGGGAAGCTGTCCCCCTTGAGGAAAATGTCCGAGAACAGGATGCTTTTAACTCCTGAAATTGGTCTCATTTCATACAACCATTTCTGACCTCAGCGAGATCCTGGGACCCTGGCAAAAGTGGGATTTGGAACGGGTCAACGTTCATGTGAAATTATTTGGAGATTATTCCTTGATGGTTCCGCCGTCAAATCGATTTCTTTAACGGCGGGAAATACATCCACCATTTTTCCCGCGTAATCTGGCTCCCGCAAGGTGCGCAAATCCAATGATACAGAGCGAACTCCGGTGTGTCGTTGCCATAAATTTAGATGAGATGACAGCGACGACGACATGATTCGCTGGTTGACCGAGACGGTGTCTAATTTGGGAAAGTGGTCCTGATCAAGGAAGCCACGAATTCGGTACATATTGATTGATGGGATGGCCAGCCTGGTAAGTTTCGACAGGATGGGATCCTCCGCAGCAGTTTGGATTTACGATGCATACAAAAAATAATTATCGGGTTTAGTTTAATGTACCACCGATTAAGATGAAATTTGCCACCTATTTTAGCCGAATTCGCAACCGGATGAAATTTTAGCCTTGTCAGCCACCAATTTAGATTGTGGTTTCCATCAAATATACTGATTAAGTTGGAAGGAGTTCATCCTGTGGCGAATTCAGGTAAAATAGGTGGCAAATCTCATCTAAATCGGTGGCAAATTTCATCTAAATCGGTGGTGCATTAAATTTAACCCATAATGACTGATCGAAAATATCAAGGATTTATATATTCAGCCGACTCACGGGAACCTTGGGAATTGCTTATCTTGAAAATTAAAGTCTAGTACTCAGGGCGGATTTTCCACGGCAAAGAGAAAGAAAATCAGGAAATAGGAACGTAAGACCAGTAATATTTTCTAGTTAGCTTGAAACAGAGACACTCCTATTCGGTACACTTTGTTTTTAAATTTAAGTAATTTCAAGGAAAAGTAATCTAATCCAAAGCAGAGAACGCGGAAAAAATCTATCCTGAGTATTACGTTTAAGCATAAAAAATATATACGTACATATTTTACGAAACTTCGCAAAACCAGTTTTCATCCTACCCATCAAAAATTACACGAAATGGAAACCAAATCAGAAAGGGATACAAGCTCGAAACTTTTCAAAACCATGTTCAACAATCCCCTCCTCACAATTCAAATTTTTAAACTTGCTGATTTTGCGAAATTTCTGCAAACAGGGTGATTACATCCATTGTAAAATGTTTATATGTAAATGTTTGCCTCCGCTTCGGCACCAACGATCGAGTGCCGCAATTCCAACTCGATCAAGGAATTCTTCACCTGTCCCAACATTTTCGCCACCTTCGCCAAATTCAAGTCGGGATACCGATTCCACACTTCGTAACTGGTCAACCGCACGAATTTATATCTCAAAAATTTGAGATTCTTGCACCCCTCCAAATCCGGATAGAAGTTAGTCGCCACGTCCAACCTGGTCAAATTGGTAGCTGCATCGAGCCAGATTTGTAAATAGGGTTGGAATTCGTGTGGCCCGAAGGGGAAGGTAGGTTCAATTCCGGCATAAATCTTGAACCTGATCCAGCTTAGATTACTTTGAGGGGGGAGTTTTTGATAGGTTTCAGGTGGAATTGTGTAGTAACTTCCGACTCGCCAGATACTGGAGAGGTCAATTTTTTCCATTTTTGTGCACCCAAACGACCTAATTGCTTCCAGGAAAGCAGGAATAAATTCTTTTTCGGCGGCGCGAAATTTAATTTCACGCGTTAATTGGGACCCCTTATGAGCTACGGAGCTAAGGGCTTTTTTTATAACGAGAGCCTTCTCATCGGCAGGAATGGACGGGTCAAATTTGTCCGAGATGAGGAGGCGCCGGATTACTTGGTCGTGGACCGCAACCGGGGTGATCTCGCACAATTCGGCGGCAGATTTGAACGAGACAACCTTGTTGACGTGGAGATAAGTCCATTTTCCTAAAAGGGTACCGGCCACATCGTCCCACTCGTGGCAAACGAGCCGGGCCTGCTTTAAGGCGGGGATGTTGAGTTCGCCAAAGATGACTTCGAGGATCTGAGGAAAATTAAGAATTGTTGGATTAAGCGGGGAAATCAATTAGTAGCAGAGGTGCTACCTTGCGGTACCCCTGTTTTTAAAAGTGAATGACACCTATGTATGTAGTGTTAACCCATGAAGCAAGTTGGCTTGATTAACGAGTAAATCATTTCAAAATACATACATTAGATTCCCAACTTTCACTCAATGTTTTTTTTTCAGGAAAAATCAAAATATGTTTGTAGGCATTTAAAACACATTGGTCAAAACGAAACCCTGGTTTTGATGCATAATAGGTGGTTACAGTTAGGGCCACATACATTTTTGATTGCTAGAAATAATAATTTAGAATTTGAATAAGTATGTTAGAGCAATTAACTAACCAACGGATTCCTCAACGCTTTCGATACTGCATTACTAGCGTCGGCAGGAAATTTTCCCGAGTCTAGAAGGGTAATTAATAAGTATCTCTCACAATGAAGAACACCTTAATTTTTCGTAAAAAGTATACAAAAATTGCAGCAGCAGTTACTAGATTTTGGAAAATTTCTCTTACTCCGTGAAGAAGTTGGCTGTAGGTCCAGATTGTGGCGAATTTTATCACTAACAATGCGATGGTGTGAAGTGTAACCCTCCGATTTGGCTGAAATTTCGAAATTAGGTTGTCCAAGTCAATACAACCAACGTTTCTTCAGTGAGCTTGTGCGATAGTCAGAATTTGGCAAAATATTTGAGGTTAAAGTTGAAAAATGTGCAATTTTTAGCACGGGAAGGGAATGGAAGTTGAGTTAGCTTCCTCCGCCTGCTAAAAATCGCCCGTTTTTCGACTTTGACCTCAAATATTTTGCCAATTTCTGACCATCGCACAAACTGTTGTAAGATCCTTAACATTCGACATATCGTCGTTCGAGAATGCGTCGTGGGAACTTTGAATAAGTACAAAGTTCGAAATTAGCACATTATTATTAACAAAAATGTAACAATGCAAGAAATAATGTAACGGTAAAAATACGTACTTCTGTACATAAAAGGTGTGAATTTGATTGATTAAATTTTGATAATTGTTAATCAATAAATATTTATTAATTGCTATATACCTACTTTCTTACTTACTGTTCAATTTTAAACAAAATTCCCTCTTCGTCCGTTGTCCTTTTCTTGAGTGCGGTATGAATCTGGTTCAATGAAAATATGCAAATCATATTTAATAACCTTGGCGCCGTATTTAAAAATAGATCGTACAGAAATGTGAAAAGGTTGAACTGGAAAGTGGAGCACGCCAGGTAGCACATATTAAAAAAGGCACAAAATAATTTCCGAAAGGGACCCCGTCCGTGTTGGTACATACATGTGTTCATACGTGAACTATTTTTGGGCAATTATTTAGGCGACATTTTCACACCAAAAGACTATGCATTCTTTGTACGGTGCATTTATTTACATATGTACAAACATACGTAAATTCATGTAAATTATATATCTGAATATGTACAAGTGTACGTTCACATTACAAAAAGGTTTTATTAGAAGCACAAAAACTGACCCTTGCAAGAACTCTGCCTTTTAAATGTTTATGCACAGCAATAGAAATATTTGTCCTCGTGTATATCCTCAAAATACTGAAAGTTTTTACCTACACAATCTTCATCCTGAGTGAAGATATGTACACGTGCATATGTACACATATGTAAGTAACTACATACTTATTTATACATCCATATCCAAAATTGTAGAAGTGTTCATTGCAACCCTTTCTTTGAATATGTATTTAAACCGTTAATTCTTCCTTAAAAACTAACCCGTTCTATAACAAGGGATTATTTTCATTACACGCAAAACTTCCCAACGGATCACCCAACCCTGAAAAACATAATTTCCTCTCTTTTTTTCAAATTCGATAACACTTCTAACAAAGCAAATCAAAGATTTTGTAAATTTCAAGAAATCCCTAACCAAGAAATATTTATGAAGTGATAGGCAAACGTTTTGATCTTTTCTGTACATCTTTGTCTCTTTACATCGAAACTCAGTTATTGACATATTGTCAAAGTGCGTAAAATATCTGTTTTCCCGTTGTCACTTTCGTGGGCCTGGTTAGGATAAAGTGAGATTTGCATATGCAACAGTTTATTTAATAATGGAAGCCACTCCTCAGAATTCTTATTGGATACTTACTCTGCCTGAGGTACATAAATATGTCAAACATTAGTACATAAACTCTTACAAATCTAGTATATTCATGCAGGTACTGCCAATAAACTTCTCGCAACGTATGCTCATAGATTTGGATCAAACTAGCGACAATCGATCACAAATTTAATTAGCATGAAATTTGCAAAGGGGACTATCTGCCAATGCTCAAGTTTAACGGAGATATTTGCATAAAAAGAGGGAAAATGCACCCCCAAGGCTGGTAAATTTTTCATTTTCCAAATTTACTGCCAATTTTTCCTGCTTTGGATGCAAATATCACCGCCAAACCTGCGCGTTGGGAGATAGTTCCATTTGCAAATTTCATACTGATTATATTTGCGATCGGTTGACGCTAGTTTGATCCAAATCTGTGAGCATAGGTTGGGAGACCTCCATTGTTAGTCAATTCTCGGTAGGAAACTACCGCTTGTTATTAAATTTATGCCAGTCTAATATGCTAGAACTTCAATATCGAGCCCAAATTGCCGATTGTCGATTGTTACCGACGAAGGTACGAGGTTGTTCTACCGCGTGTTTATACTAAATATTTTTATACTAATGAAAGTTGTCTTCTAAAGCTGACAAATTATTTAGCTCCAGTGTGGGTAATGTTTTTTTCACTAGAGCGTTGATATTTGGGGTTTAATAAGATGTAACCTCTGTATGTACATATATTACTATTTGGTGATAAATTATTACCAAGGAAGAAATTAATTCTACCTCCGGCGGTAACTACCGCATCAACAAATTATTGCCAGTGTAGAAGCACAAGAATTTCTTAAAAAACTTATTTCCAAAAATTATTCCAGGTAATTTCCACAATTTCTTCATTCCTGCCCGTTCCCGACTTGAAATCGTGTTCCCTCCTGAACTCCACGTGGAAAAGGGTGACCCGCAGCTACCTCGATGTTCTCCTCCCAACCAGTCTCTCCCCAAATAATTTAGCCCACTACGTCGGACTCGCACGCACTGGAAGTTTATATCCCGCCAATGTGTGCCTATCAATTCCACCTTACTCGACCTACGAAGACATGCGTCCCCACTTGGACTCAATTTTTGGCGGGGCGAATTTCAAAACCCTGACCAAACTGAGTATCGAGCTTCCCCTGAACTACGACCTGCGACATGTGGCATACCTTACCGTAAAATTTTGTGAATCCCTCAAAAATTTGAAATCCTTAGAATGGCGTCCTGTTATGTGTGGAATGAGCCGACTTACTTCTGACGACGAATGGAAAGAACTATTCCCGACAGGGGTCGCCTATCCCGGCAGCTTGGTCAGCTTTGTGGTAAACGTGGTCCAAGCTGGTTGCAATAATCCCGATATTTCCGGCTGGATTCGGGACACGGTTAATACTTTGATCCCGGAAATTCTCACGTTTCCCGGGCACATCCGTCATCTTGGTTTTGTAGATGCCACTTCTGTAATGCGGGATGATAACGTGACCCTTCCGGAACTTACATTTTTGTCGGTAAAGTCATCCATGACCCCGGCAGTGGCGAGTAATCCCTTTTCAAGTGTGAAAAATTATGGAAATTTGACCACCCTGGAAATTAACGCGGTAACGGAGACTGGTGAGCTGTTCATATTCATTCATTATATTTAATTTATTCATATGAATTTTGAATGGACCATTTTCTGAACAGATGATATTACGGAAAATATTCTTTCCTTGTTGGCCCCTCAACTGGAAAATCTTTGTATTTCTGGCGTGCTAAATGTTGACCCGGTAAAAAAACCTCCCGACCAAGAGTATTTATTCCTGCCGATTTTACCAAGACTGAAAGTTTTGAGGATTTTGCAGCGACAGTTTTCATTGTCCGAGAGTTCCACGTGGTTTCGACCCAGGCTCTACTTGAGGTTCGCGTCGGGTGAAAGGCTACGCTATTCCGAGCAATTTCCGGTCCTGGGGAAGTTAGTTGTGCACGTGGTGCCATGCCACATGGGGAGGGGGTGGGACGTTCCAGCGGAAAATTTGCACTTGGAGGCGACCATGCTTCTCTTGCAGGTAGGGATGTGCCGTAATTTACAAGTTGGCATTGCAGAAATGTCCAATGCGTCAGATTCTAGAATTTGTTAGAAATATGATAAATATGACCAATTCAAACTGTCATAAATTATGAATTTGTCGGGTATTTAAATATTGCATAAATTGGACATTCATGACAATTTGAATTTAGTCATTTTGACATTTGCCATACAGGTTAGCGCATTGGACATTTATTTTCGAAAAAATCCTAAAATAGGATATCATTCGATTACAATAATATGAGTAAAAATAAATGATTATACATAAATATAAGAATGAATTTATTGTGGAGAAAAGAAGCGATGGTGAATAGCGTGATAACATTTCATGTTTGTCATAAATGTCCAATTTGCCCGGCATATTTGTCATAAATGTGAGTCACATTGGAATTGTGACAAATTGAACGGTCAAATTGACAAATATGAAATATATCACTGATAAACTCGATTCTTACTTGCAGGAAACCTTTCTCGCCGAGGGGGTCCTTCCATCCGAGACTGTCACAAATTTGGACATTCCCTTCCGCGAAAATGTTGGAAGGATGAAGTTAAGGCGACGCTGCGACTGCGATGGAGCTTGTGCATGTTGGGGGTGGAAGGAAGATGATGCCCTCAATTTTTATGAGAGGGTGGCCACCATTTTTCCAAACGTGCGGTACGATGTGCTTCACAGATTAAGAAGGAACGAGAGGACGGCAAATATTGCAAAGTTTACGAACTTCGGAAAGAAATTGGGCATTTGGAATGATGACGAGATAAAGGAGATGAATTTCGTGTAAATTAAATAGTTTGTGTTGAAACATGACTTGCATTAATTTATGTAAGAGAAGGAGAAAAATTCAATGATTTGTTCCTAATGTGAAGTTTTACATAGTTTTGGACAATTTAAGCATTTATATTTGATTTGTAACTACACAAATATATTAATAAACAGGAAGTAAATTAAGAGACATTATTTCGGAGCTCATGGATGTGAATTTGTTCGATGTTTATTGGTCACAAGCTTTCGGAAAATACTTTTTTCTTCATCAGGTGAATTAGAAACTTTTAAAAATTGAGAATTATACAATGGTATACAATTAACAATTGTAGAGTGTAATTATGGTTGTCAAGGTCTTGGTGTCATTATTAGTGGTAAAAGGGACGCCGTCCAGATCGGGTTGATGTCCATACCTTGATCTCCGTTTATTTTGTGTCTTGTTTTTGGTATGTACAGTGATTCTTTAAATTTCCTGTGGAAATATCGATGCTCGCTTTCGACTAGAGTTGCTGACTCTTCAATGGAATTAAATTGTTACGAGACATTCCTATTTACTATTAGATTTGTTTATCTGTATAATAAGCTGGAAATGTTTGTCGGTAACGGGAGTGAAAGTAAAGAAGGCCAAGTTTCGAATGAGTCAGGATACATTAAATTAAAACATGAAATGCTTGGTGGTATCTAATTCGGGGGTGATTGTCAGATTGTGCTTATTTATCTAAACACATACCTATTTACATAGGTGTGAGAGTATCACACATTCTGACATTTAATTTTTTGAATTTAATACTTCATTCGAATTTGCACGCAATTCGAAACTTGGCTTTCTTTACGTTTCGGTAAATTACGTTCAATTCTGTTGCCTAAAGGGTATTTCTAGAAATTCTAGGATATACATAGTCTCAACTTAAAAAGTGATAGTAGAGTAGACGACTATATTAGGTTAGTTTTAAGGAATTTCAAATTTATTCTTATTTCATTGAAAAGCCAGTTAAATTTCAAGTAGGAAACATGTATTAAACTAGAAAATGTATTCCTCCTGTGACCATGAAAAATTGGTCACGAAAGAGAAAGCTTCATCAAAAATACGCACGAAATTAATTGACAAACTGTATCATTCCCGGGTCAGAAAATTTTTTGTGACCCACACACTTATATGGGGCTCAGAACAGACCTTTTCCTCAATTTTAATCAATATTTGGTGATGAAGTTGTCTGCGGTTCGAAAATTCCAACGTTAAACCTAAAGTGCAAATGAAGTCAGAAATATGGATTTTAATCCAGTTTTTCACGAATTTCGCTGTAAATGCTACTGTGGACGCCTTCACAAAGGTCGGTGGCTTTTCACCCGATATGGACTATTTGAGGGGGTGCTCCAGTTTCATCAGGACGTTTATCAAATATTTTTTTAAACTATCTCCTCTCCTTAATCAAGGAAATTGGGCTGTTTTTGCTCAATTCCGCCGATTCCCACCAAAACCATGAATGTAGCCTGATAAGATAACATTTTGACCTTTATTTTGTAATCAGCTAGCCCTTAGAATAATGGACATAAAATGTGTTAGTTTTATTGTTGAAATATGCTTCTGTCGTAAAGAAATTATCATCGGTAAACGGGTTAGTTTTTTTGGTTTTTTCACCGTACCGTATGGGGAGAGAGGTCGATTTTTTTACCCTAGCTTAGGCCTAGGAAATCTGTAGCATGTGGCGCTTTCTAATCTAAAAGACCTTCATCTTAGGGTCACTTTTCAGTGCTAATCCGATCTCTAAAGTTGAACGATCATTTGTGTGGCCAAAGTCTCCGGCGTCAGATAGAGATTTTGTGTTATTCTGGTATTTAAAGCTTCGGACATCACTGTAGTCTTTCTTGACCTTGGACCACCGAAACCTATGTACCAAAGATAGACACTGTCTCTAGGATTACTTTAATAGTTTGAGCAACCAGATCGTAGTTGTACTTGGACTGCTACACTACATCAAACATCGTGCATTTTTTTCTCGTGCAAAAAGTCAAAAATTATTGCCGCGCGCGTGTAGCTAAGCTTCTATTACTTTTGACCTAGTGATGTCAAGTAAAAGCGGTCAACACCAATGATAGGCACTGAATGTATGCACAAACCACAATTGACCTTTTAATTTTATGTTGACCGGTTCAAAAACTACGCTCTACTATCACTTCTTATGGTAAGACTATGTAATGGGCGTACTCACGAGAACGTCTTATTTCGCATCACAACTCATTTAGTAAACTTGTGAAGATCAAACTATTTTTGTCGTAACGGGATTTGCAAAATATGACTTCGCACATCTATTGAAAAACACCTACATATTTTGGTATTGTTTCCATAGATTTCTTTAATTTGTCTTGCTGGCGAAGGTGAGGATGAGTTTGCGAAATAGGAACATGCCCAGCAAATTCTGGGTGAATTTGGGGAAAAAATTCCATGGTTTTCCAGCAAAATTTTTGCGCAAACTTCGCAAGTTATGTTGCTATGCTCAATTTTCGCAATATGTGTGTATTACGCTCAACGATCGCTCGGCGGGAGACGGGCTTACACGCTACTCCTAAATATAACACTTAACCATTTGTTTTGAGGAATCTTGTGAAAATTTTATATTGTTTTTTTGCAGCATAAAGCAAATGGGAGCTACATATTTTCCAAAACCGGATGATTATTTTTGGTATGAAGACGGAAGTCGAGGGGACTGAAGAGATGGGGGGATCGTTGGAAGATTTTATGCCGTGAACTTCATAACATTCTGTGTAATATGTTATAAACGTCTCCTCATCAAAAAGAAAGAGATTCCTCTCTTAATTGTAGACTTTTTTAGTGTCAACTTTAAACTGCAAAGACGCAGGATTAGGGCTGCCAAATCCGATTTTGTCTGGGCCCAAATCCGGATTTGAATTATTTATAGTTATTATGAATTTTCTTGATATTTTAATTTCGCTTGATAACTGCCTAGTACTTCTTTATCGTGTTCAGTCGAAGCTTAAGCTTTTTTGAAATTTTCATCATGGTTTTAAATTTGTTGACCACGCAAATGGTTTCATGGTATATTTTTATGTTGATATACTAAAACAAGCTATGCGGCAAAACCGCTGAAAATTTCTATTTTTTCATACCAAATATGAGTTATGGATTTTAATTTTAGAAATCGCGCCATATCTTAAAAACCAAGGCTTATTTCGAAAAAGTCAATCAGTCGAGGGCACTAGCCGGGACCTTCCCCAATACGATCCCGTTTAGTTTAGGTTACCAAAATGTATCGTCTAGGCTGTAGCTCAGTGGAGAAATTGGTAGCCGAAATTGCAAAATTTTTCGGAAATTTGAACTTACCGCCTGTACCTAGCATTATTTCGAAAAAATTTTCGAGTAAATATTATAGATAATGCGGTTATGAACATATTTGCTATTACATACAACTTTGTGTTATGCACCCAATTCATTCAGCGAAACATTTATGATTTCGAAACCGAAAAATCGGTTTTTATTGAATTTCTTGAAAATGGTTCAAGATACCATGAATTAGAAAAAAGTCATTTTAAAACTTTTCGAGAGGCATCTAATGCACTTTACGGCATCTCTTTACGCCCAACCGTTTTTTTGTACGAGCCCCCGACATTTCCCATAAGAGTGCCTGACAACATACTATATGTTCCACATATAGCGCCAAATGTCTCAGGTTGCCCCGACATTTGAGCTTATGGTGGAAAAAATAGAAAAATGTGAAATTTCAAAAAAGGCGAGTTTGAAGATGGCTGTGGTAAAGTAACTACCTGCGACAAATAACATGAACAATTTTTTTTTATTTGCACGTTTCCCAATAATTTGCAAATAGAAATTAGTTTTTAAATTAAGGAAATGTCGATTCATTCCAAGTAAAATCGGGATTTAGGGTAATTCGAAATCCGAAAAATCCGGATTTTTCGCATTCGAAGTATACGGATTTGGCAGCTCTAGCAGGAATGTCAGTGTTTACATAAGTACGCAAAACTTTTGATGCGTATAAAAGTTTAAAATAAAAAGTTCAAATTGTACAATAACTTTTGTTAGAGCCCAAACTTATGATCTTTATTATTAAAATTAAGCCAGCCAGTTTATTATCCAGTCTATTACAATATTTTATATTATATCCATTCTTGATCAAATTTTCTTGCCAACTTTCAAAACTTTTGTTTTAAAAAGTACCCCATCACTGTTTAAGCTCACTGTAAAAACGGAACCACGACTAGAAATATACATATGGACATACACACATATGTAATGTATTCTTTATCACATTTGCATTTTTTGAAATAGAATTTCCGCAATTGGTTCCTCATTTTCCGTCGGGTCTGTACATATTCTCACAGCCAACAGTATTCTGAATATTAGGGAGTAAAAATGATTATACAATGGGAAGATGGTTCCCATTGTGAGAAATATGTTATTTAATTACCAAAATGGGACCAATAAACCGTAGTAACGTTAGAAGTAGCTCACCTTGCAATAATGATTTGCTATAATTTTGCACCAAAGGTGCAGAATTAGCCGACAATAGAAGTGCATATGTGTTATACAATTTTGCACCATTGGTGCAGAGCAATCACGGAAATTAGATATTTATGGTAATCATATAATTTTGCACCAATAGTGTAGGATAACGCGAGAAAATACATTTAATTTTTACGAAATTTGGACCTTTGGCATTAATTCGGGATGTCAAATTTTTGTAATTGTTTCTTCCAGTTATACTGCACTGTTGGTGCATTTTGCATCGATTCTCCAAATCGTTTCATTTTGGACAACCGATTATTCGATACTAACGGTGCGACTTATTTAAAAATTGTAGTCCTCCGTCGATCAATTGTCCATTTGCATACTGATTGATCAAAATTGTGTAATCATTTTTTCCCGTTATTCTGTACTTTTGGTGCGTTTTGCATAGATGATCCCAATTATTTCGCATCATTTTCTTTAACCGATTATTCGACCCCAAAGGTGCTAGTTATTCCATACTTGTAGTCTTTTCACTATCGATTTTCTGCATTGATTCGCACCAATTGCCTCATGGATTGTTCGATACCAATGGTGCAACTAATTAATTCAATAATGGACAAGGGGATTTATAATTAGCATCAATTGATGCAAAAAACTCGTGAACACACGGACGGACAGACGGACAGACAGACAGACAGACGGACAGACAGACAGACA